CTGGCCGCCGGCTCGCCCCAGCAGCAGCGAGCCGGACGCCTCGTCCCACGCGAGGGCGGAGATCGCGGCGCCCTCCGCCTGCGGGCCCCGCCGGACGGGGCGCCGGCGGCCACGGGGGTTCCGGCGCGGCGGGGCCGAGGGCGGCGCCGGCGTGGGCCGACGGCGACGCCGGCGGCGCTGGCCTCGGCCTCTCCTGAGCTGTCAGGCCCCTCGTCCTCTTCTTCTTCTTCTGCTTCTTCTACTTTTTCTTATTATGTGTCTTATTATTCTTGTTATTTTTCTTACAATTTGTTTTTTGTGCTTCTTACTCTTCTTCGTTTTCCCTTTCTTTTCGTCCTTATCCTCCCTCCTGCTGATCACGCGTTTCCGCCGCGTGGACCAGGCCCCAATTATTGAAGAGGCTGTTGCTGCGCTACCGCCATGAGGAGGTTGTTGCTGCGCTACCGCCAGGGGATGTCCCCGAATGATTTGGGCGTAGAACATGCCAAGAAGGCCGTTGGGGGCGATCCCTGCGGCACGCAGGAGCACTCCCACACGGGATGCAGCCGCGGGCGATCGCCTCAGGCCCCGGAATCCTGCAAGGACCGCACGAAGGACCTCCGAAAAGCCTCCTGGAGAAGGCGTGCGCTGCCTCCTCCTCCTCCTCCTCCTCGCCCTACTGGACCCAGGCTCGGCACTGGCACTCGCACCTTTCAGCCAGCTCGCTCTCGCCGTCACACGACTGCGCGCACTCAAGCTGTCCGCGCCTCCTCCTCCTCCTCATCCTCCTCCTCCTCCTCCTCCTCCTCCTCCGTGCCCGCTCGAGGATGGCGCGTCCTGCGCGCAGAAATTCTGGGGATGTCTCGGGCGAAACGCAAGTTTTGCAAAATTTGACGGGCGTGGGCGCTCCTGGTTGCCCAGAGGGTTCTGGGAACACAAACCCAATGTAAAGTACGAGGGATCGCGGCTTTGGGAGCGCGGACACAGCGTAATTACAAGGAATCCTGGCCCTGGAAGCGCGGATGCCGCGTACTTTACAAGGGATCGTGGCCTTGGGAGCGCAACTCCAGTATAATTTAGAAGGGATCGCGGCCTTGGGAGCGCAAATCCAGCGCAATTTGCATGGGATCCTGGCACAGGAAGTGCGGACGCCGTGTAATTTACCAAGGATCGTGACACTGGGAGTGCGGGCGCCGTGTAATTTACAAGGGATCGCAGCCTTTGGAGCGCGGGCGCCGCGTAATTTACGAGGGATCGTGGCCCTGGGAGCGCGGGCGCCGTTCACTGGGGAACGTGGCCCTCGGAGTGCGGACGCCACGTAATTTACTATGGAGCGCGGCCTTGGGAGCGCGGGCGCAGCCTAATTTACTAGGGATCGTGGCCCTGGGAGCGCGGAGGGACCGTCCCGAGAGGGCAAGACGGTCCCAAGAGGGCCCGGAGACGCCCAAGATGCCCTCAAGACGGCCGACGAGGACTTCAACACGCTCCAGGACGGACTGAAGAGGCTCCCCAAGAGGGCCCTGGGAGGCGAAATCCATGAGTTTTCCGAGGGTTCTTCAAGGATTCTGGCGTTCTCGGGTTTTCCGCTTCCCAGCGCTCCCTCACGGCCTCGGAGGCCCTCAAGTCGCTCAGAGACGGCCCACGAGGCCACGAAGAGGGCCCCAAGACGGCCCAGGAGGCTCCCCAGACAACCAAAGTGTGCCCCAAGAAGGGGCCCGGAGGGGTCCCGAGGCGGCCCTGGCCAGCCCCGAAGCAGGCCACGACAGGCTAAGGGGGTCCCGAGAGGGCCCAAGACGGTCCCAAGAGGGCCCGGAGGCGCCCAAGATGCCCTCAAGGCCGACTTCAACACGCTCCAGGACGGATTCAAGAGGCTCCCCAAGAGGGCCCTGGGAGGGGAAATCCACTCATTTTCCGAGGGTTCTTCAAGGACTTTGGCGTTCTCGCGTTTCCCGCTTCCAAGGCGCTCCCTCACGGCCCCACGGGGCCACGACGAGGGCCCCACCCACGACGGCCCAGGAGGCCCCCCAGACAACCCAAGTGTGCCCCAAGAGGGGGCCCAGGAGGGGGTCCAGGGTTAAGTCGGGCCTGTCCCCCTACAGGGGGATTTTCGACGAAAAATAAAAAATACGTAGCACCCCGCAATTGCGGATAGGAGTGAGGGGGCGGGCGCGGGCGACGCGGGCGTCGTCGAGCCGGCGGACCTCGTGGCCCCCACCTTCCCTGTCGATGGCGCTCTCCTCCTCCTCCTCCTCCTCCTCCTCCTCCTCCTCCTCCTCCTCCTCCTCTCCTCTTCCTCGTCCTCGTCCTCGTCCTCATCGTCATCGTCATCCTCCTCCTCCACCTCGTCCTCCTCCTCCTCCTCTTCTTCCTCGTCCTCCCTCTCCCCCCCTCGTCCTTCCATCATCGTCCTCCCATTGTCGTCCTCCCCCTCATCGGCCTCCATCATCGTCCTCCCATTGTCGTCCATCATCATCATCATCCCCTCCTCCCCCTCCTCGTCCTCCTCCTCCTCCTCCTCCCCCTCCTCCCCCTCCTCGTCCTCCTGCTCCTCCTCCTCCTCTTTCTCCACATTCTCCTTACATCCTCTCTTCTTCCGCGTCCTCCTCGTCCCCTGTTTACTCCTCCTGCCTCCCCCTCCTTTCCCAAGATAACGGCAACGCAATCCTTTTTTCCACTTTATGCTCCCCGACTTCTCTGATCAAGGCAACTCGCCAGGGCAAAGTTGCTGGACGGGCTGGTGTGGATGCGCGGGGCTTGAAGAGGTCGTTGCGGGCTCAGACGGCATGCAAAAATCCGCCGCCGCGCTTGTGCGGCATTGGTTTGTTCAGTGAACGTGGTTTGGGTCGCGGGTGGGTCGCGGGCTCTCCACCTCCACCTGGAAGGAATGCAAAAGCAGCCCGCCGCAGGCGCCAAAAAAATTGGTTTGTACACTGAACGTGGTTTGGGTCGCGGGTGGGCCGCGGGTTCTCCACCGGGAACGAATGCAAAAGATGCCCGCCGCAGGCGCCGAAAAATTTGGTTTGTACCCTGAACGTGGTCGCGGGTGGGCCGCGGGCTCTCCACCTGAAACGAATGCAAAAGATGCCCGCCGCAGGCGCCGAAACCTGTGGTTTGTACCCTGAACGTGGTTTGGGTCGCGGGTTGGTCGCGAGTTGGTCGCGGGCTCTCCACCTGGAGGGAATGCAAAAGATGCCCGCCGCAGGCGCCGAAAATAGTGGTTTGTACCTTGAACGTGGTTTGGGTCGAAGGTGGGTCGCGGGGTGGGTCGCGGGTGGGTCGCGGGTGGGTCGCGGGGTGGGTCGTGGGGTGGGTCGCAGGGTGGGTCGCGGGTGGGTCGCGGGTGGGTCGCGGGGTGGGTCGCGGGGTGGGTCGCGCGGGGTGGGTGGGTCGCGCGGGGTGGGTCGCGGGTGGGTCGCGGGTGGGTCGCGGGGTGGGTCGCGGGGTGGGTCGCGGGGTGGGTCGCGGGGTGGGTCGCGGGTGGGTCGCGGGTGTGTCGCGGGTGGGTCGCGGGGTGGTCGCGGGGCGGGTTGCGGGTGGGACGACGACAACAAACAACAACAAACAACAAACAACAACAAGAATCCGCACCGCGGACTCCCACTTCAGCCACGCACCCAGGGACAATGAATGACCGTTCGGCCCCCGCACTCTGACCCCAAAAATAATCAAAAAGTATTCCAAAAATAGCCTGGGGACGATTTTTGATTATTCGTTGACCTTTTTGGGGCATTCTTGGGTTCTTTTTTATTTTTCGTCGAAAATTCCCCTGTAGGGGGGACACGCCCGACTTAACCCTGGACCCCCTCCTGGGCCCCCTCTTGGGGCACACTTGGGTTGTCTGGGGGGCATCCTGGGCCGTCGTGGGTGGGGCCCTCGTCGTGGCCCCGTGGGGCCGTGAGGGAGCGCCTTGGAAGCGGGAAACGCGAGAACCCCAAAGTCCTTGAAGAACCCTCGGAAAATGAGTGGATTTCGCCTCCCAGGGCCCTCTTGGGGAGCCTCTTGAATCCGTCCTGGAACGTCAACCGATCTTTCGAGCCCTCTGGCCCTGGGGGGCCCCCAGCAGGCCCCCGGAGGCAGCCCAGCGGCTCCCACGAGGCACCGTGCGGCGCCCAAGAGGGCCCCCCAGCCCCAAGCGGCCCGCAACGGGGCCCCCAGGGAACGCCCAGGAGGCCCCCCAACACACTCCAAGAAAACGTGTCCCCAGAAAGCCTTCTGGGGACATGGCTCATCATGGGCCCGAGAGTTCCCGGACGCCCCCAAGGGGCCCCCAGGGAACGCCCAAGAGGCCCCCCAGCACACCCGAAGAAACAATGTATAATTACCCAGCAACCCTTCCGGGGACATGATTCATCATGGGCCCGAGAGTCTCCGGAGGCTCCGAAGTACCATCACGCTACCGGAGAGCTCTGGGAAGTTGGCTGGGAACATGTCTGATTGCCTTCTCGCGGCCCTCCGCGGATCGTTTCGCACAAAGTTGCCCCAAGTGCCCTCTTGAACCGACGACGACAACGACGAAGACGACGAAACGACGAAGACGAGGACGAGGACGACGACGGCGCGCTCCAAGAGGCGACGACGACATTACGACGACGACGACGGCACGCCCCAACAGGCTCCCCAAGACGCCCCCCCAAACCCATATTCCCATAAGGCCTTTTGGGAACCCGATTCATCCAGCCTCTGCCCCCGTACGTAACCATCTTCCCCGAAAGCCTTCCGGAATGCGGATTGACATGCGTGGACTGTGGCCCACTACTTCAGTGGAGCAGTGAACTCGTCAAGGCCTGGGGCCTGCTAGAACCTGAGCGCGCGCGAAGCGCGCGCGATGGTTCTAGTATAGATATGTATATGTATTTATATATATATATATATTGTATATAACAACACGAACACGACATCGTTACTGATTTCCCGGTGGAGGGCTCTTTGTTCCACTGCGATCTCAACCCCCAATCTCCGACCTCGATGCGCGCCACGAGCAGTTGCGCGCCCGCGCGACACTTGCATGAAAACGGAGACTTTGAGTCTTCTTTTGCTCGGGCGTTGGTGATCTCCCTGCGCTTGCTGAACGGCCTGTAAAATGTAAGTGCACTGCAGGG